CTGCACTCCCTTCTCTTCCACTATTCTCCTCTCAGGATTTTGGACACACACACACACACACACACACACACACACGCACGTGCCTGGCATGAGTTTTAAGCGGCCGGGTCTGGGACTCAAGCAGCAGTCGACTTATGTGGGAGTCCAGAGACATAGCTATTATGCCATCTGCTGGTCCCCATGCTCAGTTTTATGGTAATCTTTTTAAAGTACAACCAGTATACTCTCAACTAGTGATAAAAAGTGTGGCATAGTAAATACATAAACCAGCAACACAGCTGTTCACTGCGATTCGCCAGGATCACGCTCTTTAACTGTCTGTGTGTGCTATGCTTTCAGTGCTTGGCAGAGCAGCGGTTTGTTTACAACAGCATGGTCACAAACACGTGAGTAACACAACTGCAATGTCCCTAGGCAGCAGAAATTCTTCAGCTTCATTATAATCTTACTGAACTACAGCGGTCTATGTGGTCCCAACAATGTCATCGGAAAACTTTTTGCATCAATAACTCTTCATGGGGGACAGCAGGTGGCATGGTGGTTAAGGTGCTGAACATTCCCACATGGCCAACCATGGTGGCCATGGTGGCTTGCTTTCTCACTTTCCCTCTCTCTCTGTCTCTCTGTCTCTCTCTGGTCAAATTAAAATAAATGAACGAATAAGTAAAATTAATAAAATAATTTAAAAAGAAATAACACTTGATGTAAATATGAAGAGCAATTAAAGTAGCGCTTACCTTTTTAACATATGGCATGTAGTTTGTATTCAGATTATAGGAACCATATTCATTTTCAACTTGCACAGCAATGATGGGGCCTCCCCAGACATACTGAGGGTAAAGGAGATGAGAATTTGAGAGTGAGGTTATCGGTGGAGAAGAAAACTGGCTTTTTCAAGGTAACTGAACGTACATATATCTACTGTGCCATCCAAATAACAAGTGGTAACAACAGCACTGAAGGTGGGAAGGAGGAAAATGCAATTAAATAGTACGAATCACAGATTTCTGAACTAACCCCACTTGCATTACGTTCCTGGCAACTTTTCTCACTTTACAGCAGCGATCACCTCTGGGAAGACAAATGCTTCTAGAATCCTATCTTTCCTCAAACTCCTGAACTAGTTACCTCCTGTTATTTTCCCCCTAATTCAGAGTGTCACCCATGAGGCCCCAGAGGTCCACCAGCGTCCTTTCCATCTCAGTGCCAATTCAATGAGCAAAGTGCCCCATCTAAGGATGATCTCACTTCCTGTGCGCGCGTCTCTCCTCCTGCTTCTCAGGAACCCTGCTCTCTGGAGTACCCCCTTTGTCTTTAGCACCTTCACCTCTTCCTTTCCTGAACCCTCTCATTATCACACAAATGGACTTAAGGTGCTGGGTGAAAAACAACTTGCTCGGACCACAGCCCTTTCCAGTGACCAGCCTTCCCCTCCAGGGCCAAACCGAGAGAACTATTTCT